ACATAACGACTGTTTTACTAGAAAAGACTCATTTATATCTATATACAATTGCATGCCAAATATAAATAAACAAATAGCAGATATTAGTAACTATTGGATTTAAACTAATATTAAACAAATTAATAGGCTACAGTAACAAATTTTTTCTGCTAATAATAATAAAAAATAATAATTTTCTAAAAAAATGAAAAATAGGTAATATTTAATAAAATAATCACATATGAAGAAACATCATTTAATGCATAATTGATATAGAAAACATATTTTTTAAGTCTTCAAGTTCTTTTATAGTTTATTTGCTTAAAAATAATATATTATATATATAATTATATTAATATATTTGAAAAATCAGAAAATTATTTTATTTAAATTTTTTCTTATTTGGTATATCTCAAAAGGAAAAAAGTTTCATATAATTGACACGTGATATTAAATGTATCTATGAGATGAAAAAAATTGTTTTAGTTTATATATATATATATATATATATATATATATATATGAATTAACAATGTAAAATCAAGACATGTATTTAAGAAACAAATAAATGTCTAAGAGTTGTTTCCTATTAATATATCTTGAAATTTACACATAATATTTATGTATATATTTACTGATTACATATACATATATTAAATATAGAAACAAATTATGAAAAATATTTGAAGTTCTTGTTAATTAATTAAATAAAATTTAATATAAGAAACAAATATTAAGAAAAGTTTTTAAATGCAATAATGATATAGAAAAACATAATCTATAAATTCTCAACTTTTCTCTAATTTATGTGGTTATAAATAAGCTCATTTTAATTTATTGTATTTTAAAACACTCTGATTCTTATTATTTTTCAATTTTTTATATAGCTCGAAAAGGTAAAATACTTAATATAATAAAAACCTAATATATACAAATCAAATTAAGTGTATTTATGATCTGGAAAAACTTATTAAAATAAGTTTACTCTTTTCTACTTATATGTACTTGATTGTTTCACCTTATTAATAATGTAATAAAAATTAGAAATAATTGATATATCTATGAAAAATATTAATCTATGATATTTTCAATTATTTTATCTTGAAATTCACCTTATATATGTATATATGTATTTATTTGTCATCAAATATTACTTAAGTTTTTGTAAATTATTCAAAAACAAACTCTATATGAGTCCAAATCTGTTAGGTGAGAACATTTTTTTCTTAAATGACTAGAACCTCTAATAGGTAAACTTGATCCTTACATAAACTAACATTTCTTAAAAACTATTATGTTCAATAGTCCTTATCCTCAGCTCATTCCGATTATTTTACTATTTAATATATACTATTCTAGATTGGTTTAAACCCAGAATTGATCACAGCAAGACATTAAAACAGTGAGTTTCCAAAAATGATTTACGATGATTTAAAATTGTTGAATATGTACATCAAGTTTTCGACATATTTGCAATAAATTTACGATGATATTTATCGTCAATGTAAAACAATTGTAAAATATTGCTGTTCATAATTTGTCATAAACTAGAGAGCAGATGATTTTACAACGGAAGACGTGTTAGTTGTAAATTTGTGGTAAATTATTCGTAATATATATGATGAGTTTATGACAAAATACATTTTTAACAATTTTGTTGTAAATTAGATGGGAAATTGCGTCGAATGTACGATAACAACAAATCGATGCTAGTTAACGACAATATTATGTCAAAAGTTAAGGTAACTAACCATTTAGATCGAGATATTTTGTCATAAATTTGTTGTAAATTCATTGCAAAATCGTTGTATATATATTTTCGTTAAAAAATCAATGTAATTTTTTTTGTTGTAAAATCGTTGGTACTTTAAAATGTTTTCTATAAATACATCTACACTTCAAAGAAATTATAGAAAATAAAAACAAAGAAACACAATACAAAAACAAAAAACATCATAATTCTTTTTTCAAATGTCTATATAAGATTTACGAAGATTGATGTATATGTGTAAAGATTCAGAGAAAGATTGACCGAAGAATTCAAAGACAGGTTAAAAATATTCATGCATAAAGACGGAAATATGCAAACAACAATAAATAGCAGTAAGATGCACTGTCTTTGCCGACAATGCAAGAATATGTGGTACATTTTTATTGAAATAGTATGGAAGCATTTACTAAATTAAGAGTTTATATCACAATATTTTGTTTGGTATCAACATGGAAAAGGTTATGGTAGAAATGCTGGTGAAAATGTTAGTGGAAATGCTGGTATTAACAGTAATTTTCAAAGTCATGTCGATTTTGATAAATCAAATTACTATCAGGATAATCAGTATCAATTTAATCAGAGTTTAGATCATGATAGGATGCATGACATGGTGACAGATTCATTTCATGAAACACATGCTAATAATGTTGTTAAGAAACCCAATATAGATGCTAAAACGCTATTATGATATGTTATATCAGATTTTCTTTTACTTTTTTTTTGTCTTTGTCTGTTGATGCAAAAAAGTTTAATAATTAGAGATTTAGGTTTAGATTTGTTCAGGAATTGGGTTAGTCTTTGATGAAAGAAGATCAAGAGTTTGAAAAAGAGAATCAAATTTGTATTGGAAGAAGACAGTGAGACTTATCCGAGCCCCTTTGTTCATTTGAAGTACCCATAGATACCCTTTTGCCTTTGGCTTGAACCGAACTAGACCAAACTAACCATGACTAAACCAGATCAAAGTTCGAGCTGCGGTTCTACTGTAAGAAGAAGAGTGAATCTTTAATTGTTAAACTTTTTGCATTAACAGTCAAACACAGAAACCAATCTCTCTCTAATGCAAAACATATAACCCCTTGTCATAACAGTCAAATTTCAAAACCAATCTCTAAAAACATATAATTTCTTATTTTCCTTAAATATTAACCAACCTAATAAACTGAAAAATAGTTTTAAGTTTTCTGAAATCATGAAAAAACAAGTTCACTTTCTGAGATCATGAGAATCTAATTGCTTAAGACGATCTGCACGCTACATAAGTCGGCACTGCCGCTTCAGTTTCTGCCACTTATCCCATTGCTATTGCCTTTACCACCTCCACCTCTTCCACCACCGCTGCTGCTTCCTCTGCCTTCAACCCGGATGCCATTTTCATTGCCGCCACCCTGGCTGTCATAAATCATGATGCATAACTCTTTTTCCATCTCAAACTGTTCCTCCAGTTCAAAGTGATTCTCACCCTCCCATACATTAGATCCGCTGAGGCCATTGTTGTTGCTGTGGTTCGAACGAGATAAAGTTAACCTAGAAGCTGAGATTCCTCTTGCAGTTTGTTCTGAACTAGACGGGAACGCATGACCATGCAAGACTGGTGTTGATAAATAGCCAAAGAGGGACTGAAGCTGGTTAAGGTGCATTGTGCTGCTGTTTGGATAAGGCAGAGCCACTGCGGGAGCATTAACGACGGACTTGTTGGATGTATAAAAGGGACTGCAATATAAAATAAAAAAGACAAAATGAAGAAAAACATACAAATGTTATTTTTAATAATAGGGGTAAATTCTTTTTGAAACATTAATATAATAAAAGGAAAAAATTCAATAGCTGAGCTTAAAAGGAGTACAATACAAAAAGTCTAAACTTTCACATTATCGAGATCCTCATCATTTGACATTAAAACAGATATATGTAGAAAAAAATTTTCATTTGTGTAGATTAATAAAAAGTAAGCGAGATTTAAACAGTGGTTTTGCTTAGAAATAGTTGAAGACAAGAAAAAAACTTATCTATGATCATAAAAGGGATGATCCGTATAGTGTCTCCCTCTTATTACTCCTAACTCTGAGGCACTCCAGAAAATCATTCGATTAGGTGGCATAATATAATGGACTTCCCCTGCATTGATGATCCAATGGCTACTGAAAATGAAATTTTGAGGGACACCAGCAGCAGCAGCAGAAGATTGTGGAATGGTGAAAAAATACTCTATGTATTGACATTGCTGACATTGTGAAATTCAATCTTTTTGCTGCACTGGAGAATCGTGAAAAGTTAAGTTTGATGGTTATCTGGAACATGAAAGAAGATTTGTTCGTCAGTAATATTGTCGGTCTGCATTAGAGTGGCTACAAAATTGTATGTGCACGTCAGCCATCAGATTTGGAGGAATTGATTTTTGAAAGCGCACTGTGGCTTGTGGAAATCTTTTCAGATCCTAAGACCATCATTAACGCGGTATATTAGCCTGTCTCTTAACTTTCTATTGGGAAGCTTGCAACATGCTAACAAATAGCAGAAGACGGTTGCTGAAGCCGCCTGAAGGCTGACTTCTTGAAGTTCACAACTACCAAACTAGCTTTTGCATATTTGCTTTCCTTCTATATTTCGTTTGATGTTTTGTATTCTCAATATACTTTTATTTAAAATTCTGTTCAGATATTGGTTTTTTGAGCAAACAAAAAAACTATTAAATGTTGTACCTCACAAAAGCCAAAAGAGAAGGGAATAAGCCGAGAAAAGAGAAGGGAATAATAACGAACAAATGGAAATTTAAAATTTATAGAAAATTCAATCGACACCTACCAAAATCGGTTACAAATATTAAGGGACTTGAATAACGAGCATTTAATGAGAGAATTTGTTTGACAACTTCTCAAGGACGCTATCCTCCCTCTATATAAAGTGTACTTTATAAAAACCCTAATTTGGGTTTTGTATCGTATAACAACGTAAGTTATGTGTAATTCAAAAGTTTTGTAAATTTAACTTAAAATATTAGATGTTGTTGTACCTTACAAATGCCAAAAAAGAGAAGGGAATAATGCCAAAAAAAAGAAGGGCATAATAACGAGCAAAATTGAAATTTAAAATTTATAGAAAATTCAATCGACACTTACCAAAATCGGTTACAAATATTAAGGGACTTCGATAACGAGCAGTTAATGAGAGAATTTATTTGACAACTTCTCAAAGACGCTATCCTCCCTCTATATAAAGTGTAAAACTTGAGACCAAACCAAACAAAAAAATGGAAAAACACAGATCAGACTTGATTTTCAAAAGACCTCGGCTAGATGCCGAGGTAACCGGAGATACCTCAAACCCTAAAGACGAAGGTTCTTTTAAAGTCGTTAATTTTTTGGACGATGTGGTCTACAGATTGTATTTCAAGGGTTTGGTTAATGACGAGACGGTGGCGGACGGTGGAGAAAGGACCATTACCGCTGGATATGGTGTAGCGATTTGTGACGGTAATGATAATTTGTTGTATGAGATTAAGGAAACACTGAGTGACGGTGGCCAGATTAGCCGGAGAGGAGTGGAGATTAAGGCGCTGATTCGTGGGTTAAGTGAAGCTTTTGACTTGGGGATTAGACACGTCATGATTTACTGCGATGATTATCAGATATTTCAATTGGTAAGTGTTTTGTATTCATTGTTGCTTCATCCGTATATGTTTCATTGGCATTTTTTTTTCTTTTTTGTTTAAGTGTAATTCTTGTTTGTAGAAAATCCATGAATCGGTGGTAATTTCTGATTAGGGTTTTTTTTTTTTTGGTATTTGGTAATTTTACATTATTTTTAGTTTGGTATTTGGTAGTATTACTCTGAAATTGAATAGGCTTCTCTTGTTTAAACCATTAGATGGTGGTTATTGTTTAATTGTTGGCTTGTAATCCGTGTATAAAGAGCTTTTACAGACACTAGACGGTTATATACTATTGTTGGCTTTTAACTGTTAATATGTATGGGTTTCTTTTTTTTTTTAAAAATGAAAATTTTGATCAATTATACGCGTTAATCCCATCATCTTGCCTTTTTATGTCATATTAGTCTTACTAGATGTGGAGGTACAAAACTCTAAAAGACATTTGAAGCATATTAAATATATAGGACTAGCTAGGATGTGAATTTTTTGTGTTGAGTGGAATATTTACTATGTTATTTGAAATATATATCAGTATTGTGATGTTCTCTTACGAGATGGAATCTGAATTTCAATGCAGATAAATGGTGGAGATAAGCCTACGCAGAACAAAAACCTCCAGCTTTTGAAAGAATTGTGTCGCCTAAGAGAAAAAATGGCTTCTAGTGATCCTCTTCTGGTTGCCCGAAGCGATGTTAAATTCGCTTTCAAACTCGCAAGAGAGGCAACAACTTCTCAAAGCAGCACCGTTGACGCTAAGCCAGAACAGGGAGAAACTTGTACCATTTGTCTTGAAGAAATCGAGAAAGGGCGTATGTTCTTTACTGACAAATGCATTCATCGTCATTGCTTTTCTTGCGTGAAACAGTATGTGGAAGTGAAGCTTCTTAGCGGAATTGTGCCCACATGTCTTGGTGAAGGATGCAAGTTAGAGCTCACTCTTGAAAGCTGTAGCAAGATTTTGACAACTAGGGTGATTGAGATGTGGAAACGAAAGATGAAAGAGGATTCGATTCCTCCCTCAGAGAGAATCTATTGCCCTTATCAAAACTGCTCAATGTTGATGTCCAAAGCCGAGCTTTCCAGCTCTGATGGCTCAGACCAGTCCAATGTTCGGGAATGTGTCAAATGCTGTGGACTCTTTTGCATTGATTGCAAAGTACCATCGCATACTGATTTGTCGTGTGCTGATTACAAGAAACTTCATCCTGACCCTCTAGTTGATGATATGAAGCTAAAGTCTCTTGCAAACGACAATAGGTGGCGTCAATGTCTCAAGTGTAGGCACTTGATTGAACTTTCTCATGGCTGCAACCACATGACTTGCAGGTACATATACACTAGTCTTCATTGCTGCAATCACATGTCGTTTTTGCACTTCCATTGTAGATTTTTTAATCAAAAGAAACTATCGTATGAAGAGGTTCTGTTTTATAATATATTGTGCTTTGTGTAGATGTGGATATGAGTTTTGTTACAAATGTGGGGTCGAATGGAAGAAAAACCAACAGACTTGTCCTTCTGGTTGCCTACTTACTGGCCATGGTGATTATGACGATGAAGATGACGACGATGATGATGATGACGACTCAGAACATTCTTGTGAAAAAGATATGTGTCAATGCTATTACGATGATGATGGTGGACGTTGGCGTAACTTTGAAGATTTTATAGATCATCAAACTCCTGTGTAAGTTTAAGTCTTGTGATTCACAAACTCCACCCGATTGTTATATTTTTTCGACTAATCATGTTTCTTGCAGACATGTAATCTACTCGCCGCTTCCTCCAGACGTGGTACAGGAGTATCAGTTTACTCCTGAGCATATTTCCACTGGAGAAGGGAATGGGGATGGATATGATGATTATGGAGACTACAATTATGGCGGTTTAACTGAATCTGACGATGAAGGAGGCTTTGAAGACTTTTACAGGGATTACTATTCTCTTTAATCTCTCTTTATATAAACAAAGAGAAAAGAGTTGTTTTGGAAAATTTTTCACTTTTTTCGTCGGCGTTTTTTTTTTTTTTTTTTTTTTCTGTCTTTATGATGTTTCAGTGGCAGAGAATGTTTAATTTGATAATATTCAGTAAATTGAAGTAATTTTGAAGTCAATTATTAGTCATCAATGTTTTGATTATACCCGAGATCATATTAACGATTGGGTTGCAACCAATCCTGGACTGATACAATTAGTTGTTCGGGCACAGAATTTTGTAATCGTCTGTATAGTAAAAGATGTTATAAGATTATGCTAGACTTACTCGCTAACGAATTAAATAATATGTTAGCAAGTTTAAATTTCAAAAAATGCATAGTCAAATTAACTTCGTATCTTACAAATTGTTTTCAAAATTTGTTTAATGATTATGTAATCTCATTTTGATATTAATGAATTTGTTTAACGGATATTAAAGTGATGATGCAACATTTATAAAAAAAGTAAATTTCTAATAAATAGGCCGAGATTCCTTTTTTGCTTTGCTTCAAGAGCAAGAGTGCTAAAAATAAACAAACTCTAATGCAGCCCATTAACAACAAGCGGGTGATATGACGAGCATAGATATGCAGTTTACATTTCTCTCTGCCTTGTGCAAGCCGATGATATCTGAAACATCACAAGCATTGCAGATTTAGACATCGTCTTCATTGTCTAAGAGCAAACAGTCTTATTTTGTCACTGAAAAGAGAATTTTGGAAACAAACGTTAATTCTATCTATAATACTAAAATGAATTGCTAAATCTACAAGTTCAGAGCCTTTGATTACCAGAAACTAACATTTTAGGTACTCACCTCAGATAAATTTGACTGTTAACCTTTTGATGCTTCCCTTGGGAAATCATGTAATGTGGTAGAAATGAACTGAAATACTCAAGAGATGATCGATCTTGTGGAAGTAATTGAAACCAGGAACTTGAACAGCAAGCAGCATAAAGGACATCATCAGATTCATGGCATCTTTCAAAAGTATTCAAATCTGATGAGTCTGATCTATATAGCGGGCCATTACAGATAGGACAGAATTCTTCTTTAGTCATTGAGCCGTCATATTTGAGATTGAATCTCTTTAGACGCCTATCAGTGGCCAATGAAACACAAGACAGAAATCTATGGAACTGAAAGAAAAGAAACTTACACGGCCCTGAGCAATATGCCAGAGCATTAACATTAACGGCGCAATTTATGCGGCTTTGCAGGATGTTAAATATGGATTTATTGGCTTCCAACTCAAAACTAATTGGCATTGAGTGGATTGGCTCTTACCTTTTATATAGTACTTCATGAATTCTCCAACTACAGATGTGGGACTTTCACAACACTCCCCTTCACGCAGGATTGAAGCGTGGAAACTTAGGGGAACAAACATCCACGAGGAGGCCCAACCGGAGAGGGCCCAAAGATCGGGTGGCTTTGATACTATGTTAAATATGGGTTTATGTGCTTCCAAGTCAAAACTAATTGGCAATGAGCGGATTGGCTCTTACATTTTATATACAACTTCACAAATTCTCCAACTACCGATGTGGAACTTTCACAACTTAGGACTTTAATATCTTCTTTGCTTGGTGGAGACTCCCTGCAAAAAAAGAGGAGTATGGCTGAGTAAGATGCCGTAATGTAAAATCTTGCTTTCATAGTTGGAACGAAAGAGAAGGCTTACCAGAAGAAGACTTCTGGAACTGGCTGTCTAGCAAATACACGTCAGACACAGCTCTGGCATCACATATTTGCATACCTCCCAAGAGTTTAGTAACAGTACCCTTGTCACCAGCACAAACTGACTCTTCTTCGCCACTTGGTGTCGTAATTACAGCATCCTTTGACGTCCAAAAAACGTCCAATGTAACTGAAACCCATTAAGTATCTATAAAACTCGTAGTTTTCCCAAAAGCAGCCGTTTCTCCCTCTGTGATTTTCTCATACAAGTCCTTCAATGGCATCACTACGTCATCATCTTCATTACCAAATATCTGCAACTCTCCTATTTCACTCAAATACCTGCAAGTGAGAGGAAGAGAATGCGAAAAAAGAAGGGACTAGTTCATCAAATGACTGAGTAAAAACTGCATATCGAAAACAAACTTTGTTTGCCACAAACAAAGCCTCTTCAATGAAGCAATATGTGTTTCCGCTACGAATGATTCAAGTTGTTGTCCGAAGTTTAATTTCCTTCTTTTAAACTCAACTTGAGACATTCCTAATACTGCAATCCAACGAGCCTTGGAAGATCCTAGTCTACAATATGCAAACACACAAAGAAATAGAGAAAGAGAGAGATTAATTTTAAGATAATAACAACTAAAATCCAGAAACGAGTTGAGCATAATTTTAATCCACCTGAATTGTAACCTGAGCTTTGAACACCATAATGAAACTCTTGGTCATCATCTAGTGCAAAACCAGTTTCATTTTCGCTCGAAGACGAACCTTCCCAGCCATTACAAGCCATGACTGAGATGGCAAGAGGGGAAGCATAGATTAGGAATAGGAAAATAGAAGAGTATAGAGGGCAATGCTAATAAGTATCAAGGTCAAATTCATGAGATAATTTACCAATTTCCGCCATTAGCGAGCTTATTAAGAGATTTGTTACTCTAAAATTCAATTGTATTCCATTGTAAATGCTAAGTCTAAGGCCCAAAGATGTCGACTTTCTTGAGCTTAAGACACAACAAACCAAGAACCAAAGTGAGAGACAAACAAGAAACAGAGGAAGACACAAAACAGAGAGTTTTGAGAACAGAGGATCTGAGAAGAAGAAGGTGAGATTTGCAGCGAGTAAAGAAAATAAGAGCACACACCCAAATTTAACAAGTTCACGGTATTAACCAACCGATTAACCAACCGCTACGTCTTGCCGAGACCCTCCTTGGAATCCACTAGATAAAGAGAGTAGCTTTTACAACAAGATGAATCAAGAGATATGCCTAATGACCTTCACTAGCACTTAGTCACTCTTTGAATCAGTCTTGTGCAGAGAAAACTAGATACAAAGATTATGCTAAAACAGGTTTTCTCTTATGCTAGTGTTCTCTCTTATCACTCTCAAGTTCTTCTTACTTCTCTCTCTTAACCATAGTTCTTGCTTTATAGCAGTTCCTCTCTCGGGTTTCCCATGTGACTCAACCACTAACATCATCTATCTAAAACGCCAAACGCCAAGGCTGAATCTTGATTTAGCTGTGTTGCAGACCAATGAACGTGACTTAGTGCTTTTGTATATACGCGACTATAAGTCCTTAAGGGATTAGCAATGCTCTTGTCTTGAAATTTTGAGCAGTCGCCAATTCCATATGAATGTGGTCCCAAAAGCAATCTTACTGCAGTTTTGATAGAAAACCACTGCAGGTAAGTTTTCTATATTACTGTTGAATCATTCCAATTTTACATACTTTCTCATCACGCCATTGTCTTCACAAATCTCCACCTAATGACCAAGTCATCACTTAATGACCAAGTCATTATCTTGAGCCTTTTGAGAGAGAAGTACCTTGTATCTAGTTCCCAGATTCCAGTCTCGGATTTTCTAAGCTTTATTACTCAGACCTTACCTGCAACAAGTTTAGAGCTGATTGAAACTTGTTCAGAGGTAGAAATTGGGTGAAAATATCAGCAGGATTCCTTTCCGTCGATATCTTCATCACTTCAACATCACCATTAGCAATCACTTCATAGATATAATGATGCCTTACATCAATGTGCTTCATCCTCTCATGATGCATATTGTTTTTGGAGAGTCACAGAAGACCTCTACACTGTTCTTCTCATAACCAAATTCTTTCAACAAACCCTTCAACCACAGCGCTTCTTTCACAGCCTCGGTTAGAGCCATATACTTAGATATGTCGTTGATAGAGCCACAACCCTCTTCAGTCCAGATTTCCAGCTGATGGTGTTTCCAACCAGTGTAAACACTAATTCAGTAACTGATATTCAATTCTCAGGATCTGAAGCGAAGTCTGCATCACAATAACGCAGTATCTTGAACACATAAATTCTGTTGTAGAACAACAGCCTTGTCTTAAGTGTGCCTTTAATGTATCTTAGTACCCATTTCACTCCAAGCCAGTGATCTTTGATTGGTTGGCTCATGAATCTGCTAATGATACCAACCGAATAGGATAAGTCAGGCCTTGTTCCGATCATTGCGTACATCATACTTGCCACCGCATTAGAGTAAGGGATATATTAGGAATTAGAAAACAGAGGAGTAGAGAGGGGTAGAGAGGGCAATGCTATCAAGTAGCAAGGTCAAATTCATGAGATAAAGAACCAATGTCCGCCATTAGGGAGCTTATTAAAATATTTGTTACTCTAAAACTCAATCGTATTCCATTGTAAATCCTAAGTCCAAGGCCCAAAGATGTTGACGTTTTTGAGCTTAAGAAACAATAAACCAAGAACCGAAGTGAGAGACAAACAAGAAAAAGAGGAAGACACAAAACAGAGTTTTGAGAACAGAGGATATGAGAAAAAGAATATGAGATTTGTAATGAGTAAAGAAAATAGGGGCCCACACCCAAATTTAACAAGATCACTACGTCTCGCGGAGACCTCCTCGGAATCCTCTAGATAAAGAGAGTAGCTTTTACAATAAGATGAATCATGAGATCCGCCTAATGCCCTTCACTAGCACTTAGACACTCTTTGAATCAGTCTTGTACAGAGAAAACTAGATACAAAGCTTATGCTAAAATAGGTTTTCTCTTATGCTATTGTTCTCTCTTATCCCTCTCAAGTTCTTCTTACTTCTCTCTCTTCACCGTAGTTCTTGCTTTATAGCAGTTCCTCTCTAGGGCTTCCCATGTGACTCAACTGCTAACATCATCGGTCTAAAACCCAAACGCCAAGACTGAGTCTTGATTTAGCTGTGTTGCAGACCAATGAACGTGACATAGTGCTTTTGTGTACACGCGACAATATGTCCTTAAGGGATTAGCAATGCTCT